CCCCCCGCCGCCCCTCCAGCGCTCACACACGTGCGGGGCCCTTGCACTCGCTCGAGTCTCGGCCTGGTCCCCCCAGACGAGCACTGACCGCCCCCCCGAGCCTCCCCCTGCCTCCAGGCCGGAGAGCGAAGAGCCCCCAGTGTCCTGGCCCGCCCCGGGGCCCTGCTCCTAAGAGAAACACCCCGCCCCCGAGACCCCACTTCCCCGGGGCCATTTGAGGACCAGCCCAAAAGAGAAAAAGGAGGTGCAGCAATGCCGGCCACGGCCAAGCGCTCCGAGCTGAAGCCTCCCCGGAAGCAGAGCCAGGGCCGGGAAGGAGAGGGGTAATCGCCGACAGCAAATGGACGTGTCTGGGGCGCCTCTGACAACCCGGGGGCTTCCGAAGGCTGGTTCCTCATCCCCATTTTCAGCAAAGATTCCCAGAGATGAGGAAGGCTGTTTAATTACTTTATTGATCATGTCAAAAGCAGTAAATAGGGAGGGGAGGGGGAGGGGGGCTCTCTAAATGATCCCCGATGATTCACACAGTTGGTAGGGTTTCAGTTGCCAGCCAAAGTGAGACGTGCATGTCAGATTTGGCATTTTTCAACTGCAAAGAAATGGTGGGCCCAAACGCCGTGAGTCACAGGGCCGGGAAACTAAGGCAGCCTGTCCCTCCATCTCCGCGCTAAGCCTCCGGCTTGAGTGCCCGTTGTCAGAGAAGCAGGGATTGAGATCTGAACGTGTTACATTCACGATTTCGTGGTGCTTGCGACCTTCCCTCGCCAGCGTCCTACAGAGGTGTCTCAAGCACCTACAGAACATCTCCCACCTCGCCGGGCTCCAGCCTGACACACCTACTTACATGGTCGGGTACATCACCAGGAGACAACGTTCACAAATGCAACCTTCTTTGCAGACAGGAGGCGAGATCTGCGTGGAATATAAATTCAAGAATGTAATTCTTCCTCAAACAAATAATCTGCTCCCTTTCAAATATAATTAATGTTTTGATAGTGCGTTTCTTCAGAGAACTAAAGCCCCAAACAGATGCAACCTCTTGCATCCAAGTTGTGCATGAGAAACGTACACCGAGGATGTGGCAGATACATATTCCTTTACACATGGGAAAGCTTGGGGGTTTTGTTGCCCTCAGACTCCCGGTCCAAATGCATACAGCAGCGTTACAGTCCGTGCAAGGTCTTAAAACGCTTTTGTTACGAATGGACATACTTAGAAATGCCTATGTTTTCCCTTTTGGAGGGAGCTTTTTCTGCAGCTAGCAGAAGGCGGCGAGGACTGCTTTGCTGACTGCTGTAGTAGCTTAACTTCTGTTCATGCTGAATGTGAATATGGCATGGTGAATTATTTTACTTTCCGATTTCTTTCCCCCCCCCCTTTTTTTTTTCTTTTCAGGACCTGATCCTGCTTTCTTCTCGCACTCCCAGCTGCCAGTAGGAGTTTGGGATGCGCAGGGCGTAAAGTACAGGACCCACATATGGGAAGAATTGAGAGCGATTTGATTTTTGTGAGGTTTGGGCGTGTTAATTGGTAGGAGCATCAAATGTGGACAAAGCGTCTGTGAAAACAGGGCTTACTCGCTAGGGTGCTCTTCAAATGCAGTTCGCTAAATGCCGCCTTACGGGATCAGATGGTGCGCTCGCTGTAAAGGGCTGGAATAGGGCTCGAGCCGGCGACCACGAAGCCTACAGCAGCTTGAGCACTGACTCCAGTGGTGATTGTGTCGTGCTAAGGAGCACCAAGGCAAACTTGGAGGCACATTTATGCCTCCAGGCCTGAATGCAGTGCAAAATTGCAGTATTGGAAAAGGTCCAGCCTTGCAATACAGAAGTAGACTGGAGTCATGTAAAATACACTTTTCTTCAGCTAAACGAGAGATACTCTTGTATGTCTCTCTCTCTGTCTCTCTCTCTCTGAATATATACATACATATATATGTATGTGTATATATACATACATATATACGCATGTATGTATGAATAATTGAGAGGCCAGATCCTGCTCCATTAATATAACAGGCAAAGTTCCCGTCATCTCAATGGGAACAAGATCATCCCCTCCCATAGTATTTTAGACCTATCGATCCGTATCAATCTAATTTTTCAAAACATTACAATGGAAACATGTACAGTGGGGATATAAAAGTATGTTTGCTTTTGGATGAACGACTCAGGTCTAAGTATTCCTCTGAAGCTAAAACTGGCCCTTCAGAGCATTTTAAAACTAGTGACGCTTTGGAAAAAATCTGTTTCTGCCTTAAGGCCCAAATTTTTACCTCCGTGGGATTCGCAGGATCTGGACCAGTCGGGCCCGTTTGAAATCCTTATCTTTAAGAAATATGAGTATCAATAAAGGCAAACCTCCAGCTGACTTCAGAGAGAGGTTTACTTAAGTAAACACTGCAAGAAAAAAAATTTAAAACCCCATAACAAAAAAACACTCAGTACCAAACCCTGTCCCTGGAAAGGGTGTTTTCAGAGTAGCACTCTGACCCGCCCAGGACCTCTCAGGCTGCCCGGAGAATTTGAACGATTTGAGTTTTCTGTAGGCTTTTTTGAGATCAGCTCCTTCAAAATGTCCCTCCTAAACTTAACGCCTGCATATCTTTACATAAGACATCAACGGACATTGATTTCGTGCAAGCAGACGCGCTGGAGGTTGCATATTTTCTGTGTGTGTGGCGCTGGACAATATTGTAACTCCATTTTCCTTAAATGCCATAAGTTACCTGTACCTGCTTCCGCTTGAAAACCTGTCTGGAAGTCAAAGACTTGGCAAACGTTGCTAGATCTAATCTTAGTTCAGGACCAAGTTACCAGCCTCAGTCACTCAGATCCAATTATTTCGATGTTTATCTCCAGCGATCTGTGAACAAACAAACAAACAAAAAAGGAGGGGAAAAGAGAAAATATTTATCACGCTGCTTTGACAGTATCTAGGAAGATGTCAAAAATAAACTTGTTAACTCGGCCCTTTAAAAAAGAGAAGAAAGAAAGAACCTTGATATCTTTGTGCCTTGCAAATGGTCTTTTTGTTCAGCAAGGGCTAACATTAAAGAAGATCACACTTACATTCGGAAAATATTGTTATTTTTCCTTAATGGGGGAAATTGGACTCCCGCGACTTAGATCTGTGGTTTTTCGGACTGGGATGGAAATTGGACTGACACCACTTTGCACTTTAACAATCGGATTTCGTCAGGGTACAAGTTGTTTGTTTAACCCGACAGCTCCGTGCACCCCGTCGCACGCTTTACACACTCATTAAAACGATTATTCACGACCTGTCGAGTGTTTTCTAGTTCATTCACAGGAAGGACTTAGCGCTATAAGATGCAAGCCTATACCGTCAACTATACCAGAAGAAGGGGCGAGACAGTGATCATCTGATGCACTGGCATCTTACATCTACAGGTTGCAAGAAAGCAGTTGTTCCCAGTCAAAAAACACTAGTATTTTTAGATGGCGATTTGACAGCTAAACAAATTATCTCTCACTAGCTTCAGTGCTCAGGCTTTCGAGCAATATTGATACTATACTACTCTGACACACAGGAAAAGTCTCTATAAATGCTAATGGGAGCTTTAGTTAGGGACAAATTCGACACGCAATATTGGAAAAATAGAAATCCGCAGCCTGTACAAAATCAGTCATTCCTTCTCCCTGAATATGACTAGACGGTATTAAAAGAAATAAGCCATCTGCGGTGCCCGTGTGTGCGCGAGTGTGTTTTTACTGCCTCTTTTCAGTTTTCCCTAAACTATAAGCAAGATGAGTATTTGTGGGCGGAATAATATTGCTATATTATTGCTATATTATAAATATAGCTGATTGTCCCTGGATCATAGAACATATAGCACAAATCTCTGAAACGTCAGAATAATCTCCTGACACGGCCGCACCAGAAGGTGCTGCTGTATTTGAATGTTCATTTAAAAGGTAGAGGTTGAAAAAATTCTCTCCTTCCAGATCAAACCACTGGAAGAGCTCGACTCTTGCGATCAGAGCAGACTTTGCTCCTAGTCTTGGCAAGATCTTTATACTGTACTAAAACAGGAAGCCAGAAAGGTATAGAAAGCATTACATTCAAATGAGCCACCAGCGTGGTATTTTAATGCAGATCTTCTTAATAAGCAAATACGTGGTTTATATATTCTGATTACTCTGGATTCTGAAATTTCAGCTATTAGAAAACCCTAGAGGCCACTGAATCGCTAGGAAGGGATCTTAGATTTACAAAGGAAGCGAGGGGGAAGACGTCGGGCCCATAAGCCAAAGTATCATTCCCATGCAACGCCTGCATTTCCACTAAATGATTTTTTTATTCATTGTAAAGGGGATTTAAGATTCACTTATATTTATTTAAATGCAGCTTCCCCTAAATGCAGCAAGAGGGTTTAATCTGATATGGTTTCCTAATTGCTCGAAAGGCAAGCATGTATAAGTAATTTGTTAAACTTATTGGATTGCAATAATCCACGATCAGGTCTGCTAAGAATGGATCTGTCAAGCGTGTTTCCCAGTATAAGCTCTTTCTTTCAAACCAACCTGGTATAATAATCAGGAGACAAAGAAACTGAAATATGTAAGTAAATACCTAAAGCTCTGCATAAATAAACACACTAATCAATAGGAAGCTAGCCAACACTTGTCTTATTGATGAAGAGACAATCGATTTCTCTGTCCCAACCTGCAATCAGAGCTATCCATATTTAATTATTAGTATTTTTACGTGCAGTGATTTAATAATAAAAAAATAGTATTCACAATTCCCACCCTTCCGCCTGAATATAAATTATATTAAGGGTGGACCAAAAAAATGTGCTTATCGGGGGAATAGATAACCTTACCAATAGCAGCTCTGGAAATAGTTAAAGGGCTCTGTAATGCTTATTTAGGATTTTTCGGGGAGAAAGTTATAATCAGAATACATTTTCAAAGCGAATACACTATATTTCCTTAAAAACATTTATGGAATCATTTAACTCAATGTACTTTTGATTCTCATGGCTCAGAGGCATTTTCTTATGAACGTCTATGAGCTTGTATGATGTTGGCTAATCAAATGCAGTTACAATTGCCTGTCACCGTGATTCTCACCTCAACGCACACACACGGGGTCGAGGTGAGTGTAGCAGCACGAAATTAGGGTTAGCAATCGCTGTTTCGTTTTAAAATCAGCTACCAGCCATATTGTGAAAAAATATTAGTTATTATCTAAGGCAGTTAATCAGCTCTTTGCACAGATCGATCTAATAATCTGTCAGGCAGCTACCTTTTCAGGGTTTCATTTCTTTGGGATAGCCAGTTAAAAGTCTCCTTGTTGGATCTGACACGCCTGTTTGGAAATATGTGTGTGTATGTGTGTGTGGATGTAGGGATTTGTGTGCACGCTCGGGCGGAGGGAGAGAAAGGAGGGAAAGGACCTTCTCTACTCCAGCATCCCTGAGAGCTTTCTTTTTTTCAACATAAAAGAACAATCAAGATGTTAAGTCCCTGCACTAAATTCTCAAATGTATTTTATCCAATTGGGAAACGCCAATTTTAACGGGTCTGGGATTATTTTAAGCCCTTTATAACAAAACCAAAAA